AAGAATTACGACAAATTCGGGATCGATCACGTGCTTCATCTGATGAATTAAAAAATTCTCAAACAAAGATTCGTTTACTTGAACAACAGGTTTTTTTTCTTGCTTAACATTTAAAAATATTTATCTTTAGATTTCTTTTTCTCTTTTAAGCTTGACCAACAAATAAATCAAAACAAAGATTTAACTGATGAACTTCATCATTTTAAAATTGAATCAAATAATTTACAACGTAGCCTTAATGATTATCAATTAACTAGTCGAGAAAGAGATCGTTTACAGGATCATGTCGCTGAATTAGAGGTTCATATCTTACAATTTTTGTATTATTAATTTAAATGCTTTAATTCCTACTAATTTTAGAAAGAACTTAATAATCTTCGACAAGAACTTAAAGCACATGACACTCGTTATAATGAAGCTCAGTTTCTTCGTAATAAAGTAAATCGAATTTTTTCTCGTGTCAGTTTTTTATGATCGATTTATTTACTTTTTTTTTTTTAGTTAGCTGATGAAAAAGGTGCTTTAATGAAAGAAGTATCACGATTAGAAAATTTAACAAAAGAATTTGAAAGAGATTTAGAACAAGTAAGGCATTGAAAAATATTTCTTTTTAATTAATATTGAAATTTTTTTCATAGCTTCGTCATACATTACGTGAACGTACTGATGCATTACAAATGAAAGATAAAGATATAGCTGCTTTACGAAAAAAAGAACAAAGTTTTCGTAGTGCAGTTGAAAGTATTCAAAATAAATTAGAAACAGAATCAATAAGAAATAAAGATCTTGATGGACAAGTATGAATAATAATATTTATTTCGAAATGTAATTTTCAAAATTCTAGCTTAAACAATTACAAAGACAATTGAACATTGAAATTCAAAATGCAGCTACTGCTAAACGTGAATTAAATGAATATGAATTACGTTATGTACGTTTACAAGATGAAATAAATGGTCTTCAACGTGACAAAGATCATTTAACAAGTCATATTAGTACATTACAGCAACAAGTAAAGTTTCATCTTTTTTTGTAAAAAAAGGATGTACAGGTAGTCCATCTCCCCACCACAGACCATGACAGACATTACCATGGAAATATCACAGATCATAGCACAAGGGATCGATAGACTGTCACAGACATCTTAGCAACGTCTTTCCTTCATTGCAGATTATGAAAGACACCTTAGCAATGCATTTTCATCTGCGTAACAGATTGTGATAGACGTTGCTGATATACGATCAAAAACCTTATATCACTAACGTGTCATCATAACATATGAACTACTTCCTTCGAGAGAGAATCAGCAGACTCGATGAGACTTTAATGGAATCTCGAAAGTTGGATACGTCCCTGTGATTAACAACAACAGTTAAATTGATTTTCAAATATTAATCTCACTGGGATAACGTTTATATTGTGTTTTTTACTAGATAAATTTTCTTATTTACTTAAATGTTGTTTTTCTTTGAAAATATTTAGCTTGCAAATGAAGAAGATTTAACAAGTAATTTACGAGTTGAAATTCAGGAACTTGAAAATCGTGTTAGGGAAATTGATCGTCTTAAATCGCTTGAAGACTTAATACAATCTCAACGTTGGGATGATATATCACAAATGGCACAAACAATGCAAACAGTTAGTCGAACTATGGCACGTGCTACAAGTCCAACAACAGTACGAAAACGTGTTGAATTACAATAAAATTTAAAGACATATTTCTTTTTTCCCGGAGACATTTTGGCTTTAGCGTTTTTTGCAGGGTTTTTCTTTCTAATTTAACTTTTCCTAACTTTGGTGTGTGCGAACAAGTATATCTTTAGTTTTAGTTTGTTTCTTATATATCTTTTCTACATTGAAAAATTGATTGGTACAGCTTTAAAGTCAAATAACGTATAAGTCTAATTCAATGCGGGTTAATAATAAATTACGTTGTTGCAATTGTCGATGAATTTCAGAATTAAATAATGGTAATACACGATGAGCTTCATCATGTGTTCTTTCAGTATTATTTAATTGTTTTTCATCAGAAAGCAAATCATATTCACCATCAAGTTTATCATTGAAATATGTTCCACGTGTACTTTCATTTGATGCATATTCATTATATTCAATATACTCTGTTGAAACAACTTTTTTAAGCCATTCATGAATACGTTTCATTTTGTATTGTTGACTAAGTGGTGGATGAGGTTGTTCACGAAGTAGAGCACTACTCAATGGTTTTGAATAGGTTGGAACTAGAAAGAAAAAAAACTTAAATAATGATTATTTTATTTGAAATAATTTTATATTTCATGAATATCTATCTTAGTTATTCAAAGAGATGATTCTCAATGAATATTTTTCATTCAAGTTCATATTTAGCTAAAACAATGAATTTACAATGCCAATACAACTTCTAAAAGAATTTTGTCTTAATATAGTAAGATTTTCTACAATTGGTATCAATACAACATCTGACAAATGTTTTTGGATAATCTTTTAACCTGAATTATTTTTTCCAGACTTATTCTAAAACAAATGAACCTATGTAAATGGAAAGAGAAGAATCTGAACGACATTTTCGTAACTAACATTTTTTACAAGCATATTATGCATAACGTAATGTGCCTATTCACCCACAGACAACATGCAATGTTCATGTAAACTCTTTATCAATTTTCTAATATAAGTAATTTATCTTTCTCAATATTACATTTGACCGAGTGTCAGATACAGCAAATCTTTTAGAAAGTGACTCCTCAAAATCGAAAGCATTTTTCATGAAATTTCAGGCAATCTGCCAACTTATAGTGTCCAGCATTCTTTCGAATGTGATATATTAAAAAACGATAAAGAGTTTACATGAACATCGTACGCTGTTTGTTGTAAAATAGACACATTACATTATAGACAATTTACTTTTAAAAAGTTTTAAGTATCAAAATATAATTCGTGTTCTCCTCTTTCTATTATTTTTATATTTATATAAGTTCAGTTTCTTGTAGATCAACTTTGAAAAAAAAATTAACTCAATTTAAAACATTTTGTCCAACAAAATTTGCCTTCTTACGATTGTTATACATCCAATTCTACTATGACTTAACGTCTAGGAGTAAAAGGTTGTTTGGACATAATTTAGACACCGATTGTGCTTTAGATGCAAATCATTGATCAAAAATTAGCTTTATACGAATATTATACAAAAAACAAATTCGTTCAAAAAAGCTTGAAGCTGAAATATGAAATTCACATGTGTTCTTTAGCTTCATTATACTAATAGTACAAGATACGTTAAGTGAAAAATTTCTAACAGACTATAACTGTTTTCTAAGAATAATTGATAATCAGAAGAAAGATTTCTTTTTTTTTTATATTTCGGTATGTCGAAGACAAAGAGTTTTTCTTTGCCTCTTTGTTATTTTTTCGCATTCCTTTTTTTTCTGAATTCAACATTATTACTATTTTAATAATTGGCATATAAGCCTCTTGTGCATATCAACTATATTGACAGCATATCCTCAACGCACAACTATTTATCTTGATAAGCTCACAAATAGTGATATTGATAACTTATTAAAATTATAATTTGATTAGTCACGCTTTTTTATGTTGACCATATGACAACTGTGACGAATCAATGCATTACTACTCATCATCGTTGACATATTAAATATAAATTTTGATGTGCGTACAAATCAAAAACTATGCAAGATTTGCAATGGGGAAGTCGTAAAATTGCAACTTAAAACTTATCAGTAACTAATTTTTTCTATTTTTTGATAATTACATTCTCAATATTTCTAAAGAAAGACATTGTCATAGAGGGATTCTCTTTCTCGTATATTTCCCAAATTATAGAGTACATTATATTAATAGAAAAACATGAAATGCTTTTTTTTTCTGTATGCAGTCTAAATAAAACATCTGATCTGTAGCTCATATTACTAGAATATGTGAAATAGTATGAAAAAAGAAAATACTTGCCTCTATTACTCTGAATATCTTGTCGCATTTGTTTAGCAAGCATTGCCGAAAGATGTAAGGGGTCATGCGAACAAAGTGCTAGTTTACACGATCGAGCAGATTCCGATCGTCTAAAACTATTATTGCTATTAGTTCGTGTACGTGAAGTACGATTTATTGAAGGTATTGTCGAAGGTCGTATTTGTGACTTAAAAGATAATGCACCTTGTGATTTAGTTGTAAAAGGACGTATAGAAGGGAGATGAGACATATTTTCATTAGCTGATTGTTGTCGTGCTAGTTTCAATTGTTCAGCTTTTGTTGTTCGAACAGGAATACGAGCTGATCGCAGTTGAATAGGTTTTGTTTTTGTTCTTGATTCTTGAACTTGTTTAATATAATGAGAAAATGATGGTGGACGAATTGAACGTGGATTATATTCATCATTTTGTTGTCGATACGTTGATTTGTCTTCATCAAATAACTCATTAACATATTCATCAATATCACCTTCTACTAAACTACTAATAGTACATGGTATTCCCTGTAAATGCTTATTAAAAATATATGAATCAATGTTCACATGTTTAGGTTTAAATTCTTCCGACTCATTAAGTAGAGAAGAAGTACTTAGTTTAGAACTTGATGAATTGCTATGACGTGAATGTTGATCATCATCGATTACATTGTCATCATGAGTACTTTTTGATGAATTTGAAATAGATAAAAGTGATATATTTGTTGAAATTGAAAGATCACTATCCCATCGTTTTTTACTTTGATCTAATTAAAAAATTTTACAAAAAAAAATAAATTAAAATAAACTTTATTATATTTTACCTTTGAATATTGGTGCAAATGGTTTGATTGTTGTTTGTCGATGGTAGTCTTGTAACATTCTTTCAACACACACAAATCAATCATAAATATAATACAAGAACAATATGAAAACACAACAATCTTTTTTTTTGTCTTGATTAAGAAAAGAAAAAAAAAATAATATAAAGAAAGAAAAAGAGATTCTATCGCGTTTGAGTGTTTTTTCTTTTTTCTTAACTACCAAGCCAATACAATATTGTTATAAGTACACCAATTTTGATCCATTGTTTAAACATTGCCATGAGTGTCGAAAATGTTGAAATAGCTATTAATAAACCAACAATTGTAATCAATGAATTGCTTTTTAAAAGCCAATAAATATAATTAACAAATGCATGATATGTTGAATTATTAAATAAAACATTCGTTAAATGAAGTTTTTCAATAAATAATCCACCAATAAAAACAATTATTCCATTTATATATTCATGACATTTAATTAAAAAATAAATAAAAAGAATTATCAACAACCAAAATATGAGATGAACAAATATCATTGAGAATATAAAATGTAACGCGCTTAGTTTTTTTTTTTTTCTTTTGTTTATTCAAAATTTTATTGATTAAATATCAAAAATTATTTCAAATACATTAGTGAAACAGAAAAACATGTGATTAGAAAATTAACAAAAATATTTTTATTTTGTATCAGACTAAATTTCTTTTTCAAGAAAATTCATTTATAAACCAATCAGGAAGAAATTGATATTGTTGTTCATTTGATATACGCCATTTGATTTTTTTTGATTTTGGAGAATAATAGAATAGATATACATCTCTAGGAAGTAAATTTACATTTAAGCAAAAAAAAAAGAACAATAAAACATTAATTTACCTATCTTCATATGACCAATCTTTTGTAATTGTTCGTCGAACAAATGAACAGAATTCATCAAGAAATGATATAAATGCACTAGCACTCCATGTTTTCTAGAATAAAAAATAGTTTTTTTTTTTTTATTAAGTCTTTTGAAACAAAAATATTTACTGCTCGTATTTCAATATCTTTTACGCCAAGTGGTTGTAAACATTCAACAATACCATAATCATTTCGAAAACCAAGTAACATATGATTAATACCAGCTAAAAAACATTGTTGCCACCTAAAATATTTATTATACTATTTCATAACTTAAGGTTTCTTATTTACCATTTCGCATACTTTCGAGAACTAAAAAGAAAGAGAATTAATAAAATATTGGATACAAAAAGAAATTAACTATTTAATTCTCAAATTCAAATACCATGTTACAGAGAATTTTATCAGACACATAACTAATGGCACAAAATATTCACTCATGTTTCGATCACTTAAAGACAACTAATGTCCGCGCCAGAATAAAAGAGGGGTGAGTGTAAGCTCAATAACTCGACAACCGCAATACCTAGCTACCTGCGGTTTTCACCAATCGAAAGAGGAGGAGTGGGCACGTCTTTTTCTTCGATAATGTATAAGACTAAATTCCTTTAAAACTAATAATATCTGAAAAACATACAAAACAACTCATGAAAATGACCTGTCAGCTANTTCATGTCTCGAAAGACTTTTCAATAATTCATTTTTAACATTACCATCTTAAAGAACACAAAATTCTGAGCAAAATAAATGGTTGCCACGTTTTCTACGAGCTTCCCCTCAAAAATTACAGACATCACAAAAATCGAAAAGACGCATTTTTTAGTCGATTTTCAGATAAAATTCACTTTTTTTTTGGCTTTTGTGATGCCTGTAACTTTTGAAGAGAAGCTCGTAGAAAACGTGGCAACCATTTATTTTGCTCAGAATTTTGTGTTCTTTAAGATGGTAATGTTAAAAATGAATTATTGAAAAGTCTTTCGAGACATGAAAAATGGGATTTGCCGTTTTTTAGAAACCTTACTCTCTTAAATCATTTATAAAAATTTGATATAGGATGGAATCGATAGAGCTCTTCGTTGACTATCTGAATCACTATTTCGATTTGAGTTAGATGCTTGTTGTTATTATAGAAAAAAATCAAAACTATGTTGTGTTCTTATAATTTTGTCCATTACTATATATACTCTTAGTATAGAAACTTCTAGAACTTTCTCGAATGTTCTCGAAAAATTTTAGAAAAAACTCAAAAACTTTGTTGAAAATTCAACATAAACGCTAGTAATTGATTTTCTGATGATCGATAATGATCGAAAAGCAATCATTGCTTGTCAGAGACTATTCATTTTACATATTTTGTATAAATATAATGAAATGGAAGAATATATGTGAGTTCAATATTTTAGCTCGAAAAGAGTTGCGCTGTCAAGTTTTTTAAAGATATTTTATTAATAATGAACAATATAGGAAAAAAGATTTATTCATTGTTTTTGAATTTATAATTTGTTTTATTTAAACCATATGATTTGAACTGATTGAGTATTAACTGAATCAGGACCAATATAAATATTAAAGGCTCCTTCTTCCCAAATATAATTAAGATGTGAATCAAAAAATTTCAAATCATCTGTTGTAATAAGAAATGAAATTTCTTTACGTTCTTGAGTTCGAAGAAATACTTTTTGAAAATTTTTTAATTCACGTACAGCTCGTGTTACACTTGCCACTGGATCAGCAATATATAATTGAACAACTTCTTCTCCATCATATGCACCGGTATTACTTAGTACCACACGGATAGTTAAACGATCAGCATCACCATGAAGTTTTGTTTTGTCAACATTTAATGGGCCAAAAGTAAATGTTGTATAACTAAGACCATAACCAAACGGATATAAAGGATCATTTGGTATATCTATAAAACGGCTCTACAAATGAGAGAAATTTCATTTAATAAAAAAACAGAATCTTTTCTATTTTTACTGTATCTGTATAGAGAATATCACTGGAATTATATGGTCGTCCAGTATTTTTATGATTATAATAAAGTGGAATTTGTCCAACAGAACGTGGAAATGTTGCTGTTAATTTACCCGCTGGATTATAATAACCAAAAAGTACTTCTGCTATAGCATTTCCTGTTTCTGTACCAGCAAACCATGTTTCTAAAATCGCTGTGGCATATTGATCTTCCCATGTTAATGTCAATGGTCGTCCATTCATTAATACAATCACAACAGGTTTACCAATATTAAATAATGCTTGAAGTAAAACTTTTTGACAATCTGGTAATCCAATATCACCTCGACTTCTTGCTTCACCTGACATACCTCGAGTTTCACCAACAACAGCAACAATAACATCCGATTTGTTTGCAGCTTGAAGAGCTTCATCAATCATTTCTGTCGCTGTTCGATTATCTAAGATAACATCACGACCATATGCATTTAATATTTTCAACATATTTAAATCTTCCACAAAATTTGCTCCTTTAGCATGTAAAATTTGAATATTCTTTCCAAGAAGTTGATTAATACCTTCAATAACACTAACTGTTTGATTATACTCACCAGCTGCTTTCCATGCACCAAGTAAATTTCTTTGATCATCAGCTAATGGACCAACCAAAGCAATAGTTAGATTCGATCTTGATAATGGTAAGATTTGTTTGTCATTTTTCAAAAGAACAAAAGAACGACGTGCAAAATCTTTTGCTGCTAAACGATTTTCTTGTGTAAATAGATCTGTTTGTGCACGAGATTCATTAATATAACGAAATGGATCATCAAATAAACCTAATTTATATTTCGCTTCTAAAACACGACGGCATGCTTGATTAATTGTTTGTTCAGTTAGTTTTCCTTCTTGGATAGATTTATTCAATGTTGTTAAAAATCCTTCACTAATCATATCCATATCAACACCAGCAGTAATTGCTCGAACACTTACTTCTTGTAAATTACCCAAACCATGAACAGTCATTTCACTAACTGCGTTCCAATCTGAGACAACAAATCCAGTAAAATTCCATTGATTACGAAGTAAATCATTTAATAACCATTGATTACCTGTTGATGGAATACCATTGATTTCATTAAATGATGTCATGACACTGCCAGCGCCAGCTTTAACTGCTGCAAGATATGGAGGAAGATAATATTCATACATTCTCAAAGGACTCATATCAACAGTATTGTAATCTCGACCACCTTCTGCTGCACCATATAAAGCAAAATGTTTAAAACATGACATAACTGTATCGACAAGACTTAAATTATGTCCTTGAAAACCACGTACCATGGCAGCAGCTATTTGACTACCTAACCAAGGATCTTCACCTGCACCTTCAACAATTCTTCCCCAACGTGGATCACGTGCTATATCGACCATAGGTGAATAGACCCAATTAATAGCATCAGCAGTTGCTTCTCGAGCTGCAATTCGTGCACTTTGTTCGATTAATGTCATATTCCATGTTGAACTTAAACCAAGAGGAACAGGAAAAATTGTTTTATGTCCATGAATAACATCAAAACCAAAGATTAATGGTATTTTTAAACGTGTACTATTTATTGCAAGTTCTTGTAATTGACGAACAGCTTTTGGAGTATAAGTATTGAGTATACCACCAACTCCACCACGATGAATTTTCTCTCTTAGATTATCAGTTATACCTGCACCATCGGCATTAAAATTAATACTGAGAAGATTCAATTGACCAATTTTTTCATCTAACGTCATTTGACATAGAAGTCTATCAACGATAGATTTCATACGTTCATCATGTTGTGACTGATTCTGTTTTGTATCTATTGTTAAAACAATTTGATAATTCACTACTTTCTCTTCTGATCGTTCATATGATAATGGTAAACGAATTTTTTTGTAAATGGTTTTATAACCTGGTGATGTTACTCGTAATAAAACTTTCTCATTAAAGCGTAATATTACATTGGTTAAGTTAAAATAACCATGAGAATTTGGATGATGAAGATCAGAACATATTAATTGAGGATTTGAATGTATGCGAATAATTTCAACATTGGCGTTACTTATACTCTTCTGACAACGTGTTGTATAATCTAGTAAACGACCAGTAATAGATATTCGACGTCTATTTGTCATTGAAAAATTCGATGTATTACATAGTTGTTGTGATTGAATAAAATCATTTGCTGTTAATTGAATTTCATCATTTAATGTTAGTTCACATTCATTTGTTCGTACTTGTAAAACGAAAATTTGTAGTAGAATAGTTAAACATATGAATATCTTCATGTTTGAGTATCTTTCATACAAATAAAATATTTGTGAGATTTTTATTATTTCCTTTGGATGTTTTTATTCTTCAGTTAGGTAGTGGAAGTTTATGAGATATCTAAAACAAACAAATAGAAATGTTTCTTCTAGTCTTACGATACGTGGAGCATACCAAAAGTAATAATATTCCTTAGGTTATTTCAAAACAACGTCACTAGCACTTATAAGCATATAGTAAGCTAAAAACGAAAAGGAGAGGAGGTTATAAGGTCGTAAAATGGCCCCCAGGACTTTTTACACTAGATTCCTTATTATTTTATATCAACTGAAAGATCTCATTAAGATAAGCATTTTTGGTGACGAAAATTTTTATTTTGTCACGGACTATAAAAAGTTTGAGGAGCGGCAATATTCGATATTTTTGAGTATAAATCGATTTTTGATCAATATGGTATAGTGTACCTATTCATATGGAGTGAAAGAGTAAATAAGATTTTTTTTACTTCAAACAGTAGATGATATGTTCATTCAACATTGCTATAAATATCAAGTTTTTTGCTTTAGTTGTTTCGATTTCATAGGTCAAATACGACCTGAAAAATCTCAAAAAAATCATTTTTTTAATAATAAATTCGTGCAGTGTAGATCTTCGATCTTTATAACAACAAAAGCAAACATCACCATTTTTTTACCACTAAGAGCTCTTTACATTAGCTACAAAATGCACTTGTTACAGTGGAGAAAACGTTGGGAGAAGACACCTCATAAAGACACACAATATCATCGAAGTGTCGATTTTGACTAAAAATCAGTAATATTTTGTGTATTTGTGTTTCATTGTCACTCAGAAGAAAAAATCAACATCAGAATCGTGTTCAGCATAAAAAACTAAGTTGATCTATGTATGTTTCAAAATTATACAACGATTTTTATTTTCATCCAAAAATTGACCTGTGGTCCCCCAGGGGTATTCCAGAAATGGGTTCGTCTGAAAACACCATTTTGACTGTAAAAAATAAGTTATCAACCTTCAATATCATCATTAATCTCATAAATGAATATACCTAAATACTAGAAACGAAATTTTAGATAAATTTATTTTCTGGCATACTCCTGGGAGGACCACAGGTCAATTTTTGAGTATAAATGGATTTTTGGTGAAGATGGTATAGTGTAATTGTTT